ACACGCAGAGATGGCATGTTCCATGTGTAGCACACGTGTCATGAGTTGGCTGCCCCTGGTATATGGGGTGTTGCTTGACAGGACTGTTGCTGTACACATGTGCTCTGTTATACTTCTGTGGTGGTGGATGTAGCCAGTGACAGCACAGATCACCTGTGAAGTACTGGGGCTGAAGCTGTGCTTTTAACATGCACTTATTTTTAGTGTTTCGGGTAATATAATATCCTTGTGGTTGTTCATGTCCCTAAAATATGATTTATTAAAAGGCATTCCAGTGCTTTTTATAATAAATAGGGGAACACCTAGACAATGACAGTAAGTCCAGTCTGACGCTATATAGTACAAAACCAGGCTATACCTAGCTGTTTAAACAACTGTGTGGACCCAGGGGGAATGCTGTATATGTCATCCCCTGTACACCATCTTGCAATCTGTGTACAGATCAGGTAGTGTTGCCTTCCTGTTGCTTGAGGAACATGCTTTCTCATTTGAAATAATCTTTCACCAGTTAGTCTCTATGGGCATTACGTGTGTAAATAAAAAGCAAGATGAAGTTGCTCCACAGGTAATTTTTCTTGAAAATTCAGTTTTCTGGATATGAAATAGACCTAGTTAGGGGCCCAATGTGTGATTTATTTATTTTTTTTATATTAAAAGTTCTTTGTTGTCTTTATTGGGCTAGGCATGTTACCTAAATGTATTAAGTGTATACTTTCAATGCCTAACCTACAAGCACTGCTTTGAGTCCAGGTTTAAACACTCCCCAAGTCAAGAAAGTTCAGAACAAAATTTCCTCTCTGTACTGTGTTCAGGTTGGCGCTGGGGAGAAAATATAGCTTTAGTAAAAACAAGAGTCATTTTGCAGTATTGGGCATGAGGTGGCATATGGAATTACAGCCCCTATGCTGAATTCCTTTTAATCTGTTCCAGTCATTTTTATACCACTTATCATAGCACTTGAGCGAGATCCTCTAATTATGTATTTTCTGATTACAACCACTGAAGATATGGCCACTTCTATTTAATTGTGTTTAAACTGTCCTGAAGGATCAGTATGCTTGGATAATCCTAATGGACTCTCTGGAAATACAGGGTGTTCCAGTGAAAAATCAGATATATTTTCTGGCAATCTATGACAACTTAGTTTTAATTAAAATAATAATTAAAAAAAATTAGTTAGCCTTATTTGGAATGATTATATTTTTTTTGGGTCAATCACTAGGGAACAGTGTAGCTCAATAGCTGGCTATATTGTCTTGTTGTACTATGGTCTTCCCTAAATGCTTTTCTGTAAAGATAGTATGCCTGTTACACAGCTCTAAAATTGTTTCCAAAGGAACGAGGGAAGATGAGCCCGACTGTGGGAGACCTCTTGGCATCAGAGTGGGGCCAAATAATACCCTTTTTGTGGCAGACGCATATTATGGAATATATGAAATCAATCCTGTTACAGGTAGGTTTTTTCATTTTCTTTTTTTGGAAAGCCCTATAAATTGTCTTTGTTAGGCAAAAAGGTAAGCAGGGCAACCTGAATTCTGTACTTGATTTTGCATGACTGAATGGGGTTGATGATACCGAACTCCTTTGTCAAGTACTTTGAAATCTGTGGATGAAAATGCTCTGGGAAAACTTAGATATAATTACTGCTTTGTGTCTTTGGGTTTCTGCCTGCAAAAGGAGAGCTACTGATGCTTACTTAATAAAGACCTTGTGGCCGGGTGTAGAAATCTGGGATACAGTGTCCCATTGGGGACATATTTTTGTGGTAGGGGGTGAGCAACAACTGCATTGACCTCTGAAGCTGCTGCTCGCACTGTCTGAATCCAGGCTGGGGAAGCCAGCTGAGTTTGATAATCCCTGGTGTAGGTCATAAGTGTTCTATATTTCTCCAATCAAAAGTAAAATTGTCTTGTGATTCCCATTGTCCAATATTGAAGTACTAGCTAATTGCTTGTCAAAAATGATGGGGGGTGGGGAGGGAGGAGGCTGGGATGGAGTGCTGCCACCTAACCCCCCCATGCTGCTGCTGTTCTGCCTCTTGCAGGGAGTGGGGTGGGGGAGCAGAGGCCAGCAGCTCCCCCACCCTCTGTCTGGGCCTCAGTGCTGCTTCGGAATCATGGTGACGCTCCCCCATGCTTGGAGCTCTCTGATTGGCTGTTTGTCAGCCACTCAGAGTGCAAATAAAGTGTTACAGACAGACAGACAGACTTAGGTTTTTATAATATTAGAATTTCATGATGGATACTATGTTTGTCCTCATGCCCTATTCCTACCAAGGTTACTAAGTGCTGCTGTTTGTACTTTTACAACTAAGGTCTGAAGATAAAGTGCAACCAAGGCACAGATCCTCAAAAGGTGTTTTACCAGCTTGCTGCCATGGAAAAAGATAGTACCCAAGTACATCTGAGTATATGGACCTAAGGAATGTGCTTAATGACACACGGAATCTGTGATCAAACAGAGAAGTGAACCTGGTTTTCCTGCTTTGAATCAAACACCCTAACCATTAGCAAAGCCTTTTAGCCGGATCCCTGAACCTTCCAGCGTAGGTTGGTAGGGTAGTAGCCCTCTTTGGAAGCAGTAGTCCTTCTTGCCTGGATCCAGTTATAGGATTTGACCCTTAGCTTATCCTTCAAATCAGAGTGTTTAAAATCTTTCAGAAATGTCTTTCTTCACAACTTGAAGAGTTTTTCTGCCCCTCCCCCTGCACCTTGAAGAACTGCAAGGTACAAAATTTTGTTTTCCTTGTGCTTCCCCTCACCTATAGTTTAAACTTTTGATTATTGTGCCTTCTTCACTTTCTTGGATTCAGAATTGTCCCACAACTTTTGTTCTGGGCTATGTATTTGCATGGAATGTCTCCATCTAAGAACAGTTCTTTTCACTCTGGGGAAAGGGGGAAATGACGTGTCTCAAAATAGCATATGTACTAAAAATAAAATGTTTTGGGTTTAGGATATCAATGTCGTCCCCTGCCAAGAGCTGTGAATGTTGGGAACTTTTTGTCTCTCAAACTCAATGCTCATGAAAATAAAAAATAAAATAAAAAATCAAAATGCTTAATTGGGTGGAGGGGAGAAAAGCATCTGTTAAAAACACCCAAGCCTGATTTTTCTGCTTCCTCTGGTTAAGGAAGGATATTTTAATATTTTAAATAAACATAAATATGTATCTATATAAATAAGAACACATTATGAGTGTCAGCAGTGACTCCATACTTAAGGTTGTACTTAGCTTTTTTTTTTCTCTCAGAGTAGGGTTTGTATTTCTTTTGTTACACTTGCAAAAATGTTAATCACAACTAAAATCATCCTATGCATTCATAAGCCAAAGATTAATTTTCTGAACACCTCAAAGTTAATTTCTCAAAGTTAATTTCTTTGAGTTTAGGGTTTTCAGGGGAGTTGAAAACTCTTTTTACTGAAACTTTAGAGTTGGCATGTGGTTCCTTGAATTCATAAATAACTTTGCTTCAAATGCATTTGGAGCCAGACAAAGCTAGCTTGTTAAAAGCAAACACAATTGTCAGCTTAATGTACCGTTACTGTGTCTGTGCACATTGCAGAAATGAACTGCTGGATTGTTTGTTGAGTGCTGACACTGTACATCTTACACATTCAAACTAAAGTATATCAAATAAAGCTGCTCTTTTGAGGATGGAAATCATACTAGGTCATGTTACTACACCCACACACTCAATCGTTAGTATTTCAATTACTAGAAAGGCAGAGTGGGGAAAAAAACACAGAGAGAAATAGAATAATTTCCTTTTTTTCTTGTTATCAGGTGAAGTGCAAATGCTTTTGTCAACTAAAACACCGATTGAAGGTCAGAAATTGTCCTTTTTGAATGACCTGACATTGACTCGGGATGGGAGGAAGATCTACTTCACGGACTCGAGCAGTAAATGGCAAAGGAGGGATTTTGCTCTCCTGGTTATGGAAGGAAGAGATGATGGACGGCAAGTATCTATCCAGAGCACTCCATTTTCTGTAGGACCAGTGGTGTTCAACCTTTTGAGATTCGAAGCATCCCTTGGAAAATGTCAGCTTTTATTTCTTACTCATTTTTTGACTGTGGAAAAAAAATAATAGAGCAATTTTTGGGGTGGGTATGGGTGGTATTGATTTTTTTTGGGTGTTTTTTCTGTGACCTCCCCTGTATCCCCCGGCCAAGAAAACTTGGAAAAACTACAGTTGGTCAGAATATTTTTAATACTATAGATTCCTTTTTGAGATCCTTAGCCTCGTCCAGACTAGCATGGCCGTGTACTGTATGGCACCACAGACCCGTTTGTGGTGCCACACTCTGCACATTCAGGTGTTCCCTGAGCTCCTACTTTGCAGTGCGGGGCTGTGGTTTTGACCCTGCACAGAAAAAAATGTGGGGCAGTGCATGTGGCAGCGGCGTGCGCTGCCCAAAACTGGAGCCTGGTCTGTTGGAGCCATGCTTTGGCTGCCGGCCGGGCTCCCAGCTGCAGGAGTGATGTGGTTGGCCCCCAGGACCCCAGGTAAGGCTGCTGGGGCAAGCACAGTTGCTGGCTTCAGCCTCCTTTACCCCACTTGGCGTAACCTGCTATGTGCCAGAGGGCATGGGGGACAGGCCTTTCCTGGGGACAAGAAGCAACAAGGTGTGCTGCTGCTTCTTGTCACTGGGGAAGCAAACGTCTGCACTCATGTAGACACGGCCGTTGGATTTATCATGTGACTAAGGTTTGCGCACCTGATTGTGCTAACATTGCATGGCACCCCTCGGCACCCTTGAAAGGATCTCAAGGCACCATGGTGTGCCACAGCACTCTGGTTGAGAACCACTACTGTAGAGAAATCAAATTGAGAGGAATAGCAAGAACACCTTACTGGTGTCTGAAACCTTTTGTTTGATATATAAAGACTTAGCATATTTACTAGATGCCAAGACAAGTTATGTGGTGTCCCCCCCTTCCCTCCCTCCCTGGACATGGGGAAAATAAACCCTTGTCATAGAATTGAGTATCAGAATGCTCTGGCTATGAGCCTATCTGGGCCAGGGACAGCATTAACGATATACAGATTTATCTTTCCAGCATTTGTTCCCTATATATGCAATATAGAAACAAATTCTTGCTTTCTTCTACATGTAATATTCATATCTCCTATATCTTTCTATCTCCTATGTCTATGCATATTCCAAAAGCATACCCAGTTCATGCTTTGAAAATTAAAAGAATTGGCATGTTTCAGATGACTCTTCCCACAGAGGTTTGCTTGGCAGACAGCTGGTTTTATTTCTCCAGCCCTCTCTTTAATCCACAAATAATTTTAGATGTGCCCTGACAGGTTTAACTTTCCTGTTCTTTGTATAAAAGCTGGAGGAACAAAACAAAACTACTTGGCAAGGCAACATGTTTGCAAGTGAATCATTTTGCTTCACCTTACTCAAATACATGCATTGTGTTTTGTCCTTAGCTTGTTTGAATATGACACTGTGACCAAAGAAGTGAAAGTCTTAATGGTGGGGCTGAGGTTTCCCAATGGAGTACAGCTCTCTCCGGCTGAAGACTTTGTGTTGGTGGCAGAGCTGACACTGGCTAGAATAAGGAGGTGAGCATGATGCTGGATGGTACAGGACACTGTGACCCAGTGCTTTTGTATTCAACTGATGGGTTTGAAAATGAAAGGAAATCTTGAGCCAAATGCTTCCATGATGAGCAGCTGAGTTTGGCAGGGCAGCACAAGGAGTAATCAGGGCAGATTTCAGCCTTACATATTTGTCTGTGTAGATATAAATAACTTCCATTACTGTGGTATGAGGAGTCTTCCTAAATTAAAATGTCTTATGAATGGACTGAACACTTTCTATGGCCTCGGAGCCCAAACCTACCCCCTTTTCTGAAGTTTGGTTTTTATAAGTAACTTGATACAATTGCACAGTGTCTTAGTTCAGGGCTGGCCAACCTGTGCTATGCATGCCAGAAGTAGCATGGACAGACAACCTCTCTGCATGCAGCAGACTAGGGACAGAGCAAGCAGCACAGAAGCAGGTAGGCCAAGGAGCAGAAATTGGAGCAGGAGAGCAGGCAGGGAGCAGAAAGCAGAGCAGCAGATTGGTTGGTTGAAGCATCTGAATGGCACACCAGGAGAGGACTTAATTGGTGACAAGCCTGCCAAAAAGGTTGGTCCCCACTACTTTAGTCTAGGTCTACTTCCTGTGTTGGAAATGACTAACACTAGCAAGAACCTCTTCTGTCATAGGTCCCTTGATTGCCATGGATAACTTTGCTTATATCCTAATTGGATTTAACTAGTGCAGAGGACTTGCCCACAACTTCTGGTGTCATTAACCAGCACCATGACAATTAACTTGAGCTGTTTCAACCCAGTCTAATCAGTGGTGTCTGCTGCAGTGGGCTACCCATGTTAGGGCTCAACACCAGGAAGTATGTAGCAAGGGGGAGGCTCAGTCTCTCAAGTAATATTTCTGGCTTGTTTTGGTACCAGATATGTCACAAAGTTTTCTGCAGTTTATTAGCATGTGTCCCTAGCGCTGCAGTAAGCTGGCTGTACTATGATTTAGGGCAGTGGTCCTCAATCTTTTGGCCCCTTGGGCCAGGTGAGTGGTGTGGGGCCCTGGGACCCAACACCCTCCCCTCACTTCCCACTCCCTGAATGCTGGGAGAGGGCTGGCACTGTCCCCTTCCACCTCCCTTGTGCCAGGATTGGGTCCCAGGGGGCGAGAACTGCACCCTTCCAGCTGCTCACACCAGGGTTAGGTCCTGGGGCCTGGTGCTACCCCCGTCCAGTCCTGCATACTGGGCTTGGGCACTACCAACATGCAGGGCCTGGAGCAGAGATGGTTCAGAGATGCAGTATCAGGGGAGGAGTATCACTGCTCCCTTACCACCAGATTTCAGGATCCATGAGGGGCCCTGCAGGCCAGATGACACTGGGCCTCTGGACTGTATCTGGCCTGCAGGCTGGAGGTTGAGCAACTTTAACTTAGGGTGTAGCAGGCACAACATGTCTCATAACTTCCCCAGCATGGTACTAGGGAATGCTGTGAAGACATGCTCAAAGATGTATCCTTGTTCTCGCCTATAGGACAGTTTTTGTTGTGTGTTTATGTAGTGTTAAGCACCAGAAAGGCTTTTTTTGCATTGCATTTGTAATGCAGTGAGCATCAAGGTTAGAAGTATCAAGATGCTGATGGAAAGAAGGAATGCAAAGTTTAAAAACTGTTGGATAGAGTTTTTGTAGCTTTCACAACATCTATCCTGACTGCCAATTTAACTACAAGGTGATTCTGTTTTATTTGCATAAGCAAGTAAAATAACAATCGATACTTTCTCATCTGCCTGTATTTCTTTAGACAGTAGAACTTACTTTTCCCTGTCTGAGAAGAAAGTTTTATGCAAATTAAGAGGGGCTGTGCCAGAATTTAATCAGCAAAGTCATTGTCTTATGATTTTATTATTCTGTGGCTCACCACTACTTCTCCAGTTTCATGAACACAGGGTCATTGTGACTAACTGTAGCATCATACATGTCTCTTGCCTTTTAATAGATCAGCTTGGTTGATTTAGTCAGTCCCACAGTTCGTACAAACAATGTGGCACAAATTCTGTCCCATTGCATGAGTTAAAATAAAACAACTCCTTTGGCTTCTGTGGATTTACCTTTTTATGTCAACGATCAGTCCCAATGGCAGAGCAGCTGGTATGGGAGCTGTATTTGTTGTCTGAAATCTTGGCATTTCAACTCAAGTAGGATGTTTGGTCTTTAGATACTTTGACATACCAGATCAGGGTCACAGGTGTAAGTAGGTTGAGTTGTACTTTGATCTACTTATTGTACAGATTAGATAATGTTTTCTAGAGTAATGACACTCAGTCTGCACAGTGCTAGGATTTAAATGCTCTAGGATTTCGAACACTTCAAACACGAGTCTGTACATGTCCTCAGAAAGAGAAGAATGTGTTCATCCCTTGCTGTACTCCACTTGAGTGGAGTCCAGCATCCCCCTATAGCAGACCTTGTTTTTTCAATTATTTGGTCTTATGTTCATACAAAAGTAAGCAGGTGATGTGATTTTGCTGCTGTGACTTTTTCAGGTATTACGTGTCTGGGCTTATGAAAGGTGGAGCAGATATGTTTGTAGAAAACATGCCTGGCTTTCCAGATAACATTCGCCGGAGCAGCTCTGGAGGATACTGGGTGGCCATGTCAGCTATCCGACCAAACCCTGGATTTTCTATGATGGATTTCTTATCTGAAAAACCCTGGATTAAAAGCATTATATTTAAGGTAAAATTGGTTAAAACAAACATTTACTTTTTTAAAGGTAACCTAAAATACCTTGGGTGTGTTGGTATTTTCGAGCTAAAAAAGAGCTAAGTGCTCTGCCAAGCCATGTGTCATTAATTTGAGGCATCCTCTGCATTTTCTAGTTACAACTAAAGCTGGCTTGTACCAGTAGTTAGGAGCGCAGTCTTTAAAAAAATAGGATGTGTTGAAATTGGTTTTCCCTTTTCATCTGTAAATGCTTTTATTTTTGTGGGATCTGCCTGTTAGCCTCAGTCATACTGTGTTTGCATTTGATTGCCTTTTTTAACACAAGGTAAACAAAAGAGGAGGAGCAAAGCATAATTTATTAAACATGACTTTTTATATAATTGGTCCTTGGACAGCTGAGCAAACCAAAAAAAAATGGTTATAGCTCAGAAGTTCAGTTGTCTCTCAAAGAATAAATCTTGATTAGCAATACACATTAGAATGGAGATGCATGCTTAGTGACTCTGTTGCTATGCTACGTTATAACTTAAAAAAAAAGGCTTTTTCTGGTATGAAGAATATCAGTGTTTGGGGCCCAGGTCACAAGTAAATGAGCAACATCATAGGGTGGAGCACACCCAAATCTCAGCTGTTTGATGCCGAAGGCCAACATTCAGTCACTGCATGAAATTCTGTAAGGTCTTTAGTGCCTTCTGCATCAGTGTCACAATGAGAAAAAACTAAGGGCTCTGCCCTGGCATACATTTTTTGTCAATAGTGTTTTTAAAGTTGCTGAGTCAGTTCTCTTAATGTGCCAGATCTATGCAGCCAACTTTTACCTCTAATCCAAAGACCTGGTTTGCTTGCCATTCTGGTGTGATCTTTGGGATAGTGGTATACCAGATGGTGATATTCATGGTTAAGCAGCTTTCTAACATGAGACTTACTCCCTCCATTTTTTTTCTTTCCTCACTTGTCTTTCAGCTGCTAAGTCAAGACACTGTGATCAAGTTTGTGCCCAGGTATAGCCTTGTCATAGAACTGGGAGAAACAGGCTCCTACAAAAGAAGCTTTCATGATCCTAATGGGATGGTGGTGGCTTATGTTAGCGAAGCACATGAACACGATGGATACCTCTACTTGGGCTCCTTTCGATCTCCATTCATTTGCAGACTTAACCTTGAGCATGTTTAACTGCTGGTATGAAATAATATCCCGAAACATCCCAAGAGTGTGAAAGGAAAGCTGGAAGCAAATGGTCATCCAAGGAAGAGCCGCGGGAGTAGATCCCTTTACATATGCCATAGCACCATTAAGTGCAACAGGGAAATCCCCAGCTGCTATGCTATAACAAAAAAATATATGTATGCATATGCATTGCTATAATTGTCTCCTTTCTCTCCGCTTGTCTATTCTACTCTACTCTGTCTTGAAAGTGGCATGCATAAAATTAACATCTGTGGGGAGCAGAGGAGTAAGCAGATATGATCAAATGCTCTTGTTCAGTGGAAACCATCACTGCTCCCCTTCCATGTCTTAAGTAGGCATCCTCTGTCCAGTTGAATACAATTTCATTGTCATTCAGTTGAAAATACAACACTGGAAATAGGTAGTTACCTTAAATGAAGCAATGCTGTGGTTGAAGAGGTTGGCTTGCATGTAATTTTATTTCCAGTTTGGATCCTACCCTATAGGCATGGTTCAAAAAATGTTATGCATGTTCTCATGTCATGCCATGCTTCTGTGATAGCAGCAATAACCACCAGGGCCTAACTAGAAACCTTGTTTGCCCAGTCAGGGTTTTTCAATTCCAGCCTATATAATGAACATATGAAACTGTACCTGACTGTTAATTGATGTACAGTAATTTTTCTTTGCTAATGGTCTACTAATCAGTCTTTCTCTCTCTCTGTAGCATTGTAATTTGCCAGTGATTGAATGTTACATTTTATACAGCATTAAACAGAAGGCTGGTTCTAGTGGGTTTTAGACAGTGCTTTTAAATGACTATTATTTAGCCTGTGAGGATACCCATCAAGTGCCAGGCATTTCCCAATGCCAGAGGATGGTTCAGTGTGTTTGGTTGCTTATTGTTCTGTTAGTGTCAACATTACAGGCACATATGGTCTTTGCTTTTCACTCCAGTGTGACCTAGAAAGTTCCTCTTTAACTTAAAGTGGTAAAGAGAATGGGAGGAAAATAATGCTGAACATGTATTGATATCAGTGTGGCCCAAATGACTAGATTCTGATCTGGGATTTGAGTTACCTAGCTTCTTTATATCCCAAATCTGCCACTGGCTTGCTGGGTGAATTGGCAGTAAAAATGCTTGCATGTGGAAACCAAGACAATATCTGTAACGGGGATACTGTTACTGATCTTTTGTGAACACATTGAGATCCATGGCTGAAGAGTCAGATGGGACTAGATTTCAGTTTACTTCCCTTTAAGTGCCAAGAGGCCTGGGGCTGGGCAAGCCTGTTCAGTTAGTCCTGCCTGCTGCATCTGGTAGGTATTGGAGGAGAGCCCAGGAGTAGGGACTGACTGGGGAGGAGGACAACGCCAGTTGCTTATAGAATGAGTAGGAGATCTGGCTGGTTGGCAGCTGGCTGTAGATGGCAACCTGCAAGAAGCCCTGGACTAGACTGTGTTGACCAGAGCCCAGGAACAGCAGGGGAAACAGCTGGAGAAGTTGCTGCAGGGGCCAATGTGCAGAGAAGGGTAGGCTTGCTGCAACATCCTGCATAGCCAAGAGAAAGGGAGAATGGTGCACCAGATCCAAATCCTTGATCCCCTCCCCTTATGGCGGAAGGAGGATTGTGCTTGTGAGATGAGATTCCACCACTCCGAAAAGGGTAACGGTCCCAGTATGACTGAAGCCAGAGAGTCGAGTCATGATCTCAGGCCAGGGGAGAACCAAGGAAGACACTGAGCTGGGAGTTCTGCAATATGAGGTTTCTCCAGGAGGTGGCACTTCAGAACAGCAAGTGACACCAGTCCCAGGCACTGCCTTTCTCAAGGGTTCCCATTCTGAGACAGGGCTGGGAGGAAACTCTTGCTGGTACTTGTAATGTTCTCAACAAATGGGTTGAGGTAATGCACTGCAATAGCTTCTATCTGCTCGGGAGTCTTAGTAGTGTGTGACACTGGCCATGAAAACACAGTGAAATTTGCCCTTCAGTGATTCATCTGTGGTGGGAAGGAGGGAAGAAGTAACCTTTCCTAACATGAAACTCAAAAAGCTTGCTTGCTTGCTTGCTGTGTGTATGTGCTCCCGCATCTGGAATTCAGTCAATCCCCTGGCCTAGGTAAAGGACAGTTGTCGCACTTCCCTGCTTCTGGGAATAACAGGGAATTCTAATCAAGCCAAATAGGTGACCAACTGGCCAGTGCTGCCTTGCATAGCAAAGTAGATGAGGCAGGTAACTTGTCAAAAGCATTAGCTGATTTGTAGAATTATAATAGTAAAATAGTAGAAAAGCAGGGCTGGAAGGGACCTCAGGCAGTCATCTAGTCCAGCCCCCTGCTGAAAACCAGGATGGTTTAGATAGGGACAATCCTGCCAAGTATTTGTCTAACTTGTTCACAAAGTTTTTTAAACCAAGTCTCCCATGACTACCAATCAGAGTGATCAAAGCATCAAGAACTTAACTTGCCATAGCTAGAGCAGGGGAGGAGAGCATTGTTAATGGTCAGCTGCTGCAAGGACAGCTGAAGTATGCCCAAGAAATTGTAAGGAATAAGATGTCTCCCGTTACAGAGGAAGGCAAAACCCCCACATCCCATAGTCAGATTGGCATGGACTAAAATTCCTTCCTGATGCCAAATGTGGCAGTTGGTTTGACTGAGTGGTGGAGCAAAGACCCCTAGCCAAGAACCTCTGGGCTTTTAAGTTGCAGCAGGAGCAGCAGCACACTTCAGCCAAAATCCCCAGCCTTGCTTGCAGCCAACACCCAGTGCTTTTGAAGAAAGCAAGAAAATTCCCTGATGTCTGCAAGCACTGGAGATGAGAGAACTTCCTTGACTCTGTGGCTGGGGAAGGGCAATTGCACTTGGGCATTCAGCTACTGTAGGTGTGTACATGTGTATATGCTAGATTTTACACCTACTTTTGCTACCAAGAGCTAATTGCTGATTCAGGAGTAAATTTGTACCAAGAAAATTTGATGGGTGGTCTGACTGGGAGTCTTTTAAGAGTGTTTTAGGGGTTTTTTTTGTTTTTTTTTTTCTATCTAGGATGGTGCAGATGGGGATGATCCTGCCTTGAGCAGGTGATCGCACACAGTGGTCCTTTATCTAGCCCTGTTGTCAAGTTAATAGCATTTCAGCATTTCAGGCTGTTGCAGTTTCACTGCTGGACACTAGAAATATGGTAACAACCTGGCTTCAGCACCAGACATCTGTCATCACCTTGGCTTTCTTCCCTGTTTGCCCAATGGGAGGAGGGCAGTGGTGAAGAAGAAAATAACCCAGTGGTCTCCTGCCTTGTAGTAGCAGAGCCAGAGCCATGTATGTTCTCCATTACTCTGAAGGCCATGCTTTTCTCTGGCTTGGTCTTCTGAATTAAGGGACCTTACTGGTCTTGTTTGTTGTGTTGAAGCTGGGGGTCCCTTGGGAAGTTTTGTGGAAGCTTTTTCTAAGAGGTTAGAGGTGTTTCCCAAAGGGGCTTGGATCCACAGACAGTACTTGGAAAAGGTAAAAGGTTTCCAGGTATGTGATGTAGCAAAGCTTAGGATGCCAGAGGAGACCTGGCCCCATCTATTCCAGACTAGGACCACTTCCAGCCCACATCCTTCAGTGTAAGCCTATATATGGAGGCCCCTGTACTGTGCTGATGGATAACCAGGAGAGGGACATCCCCTTATTGACCTTGGCAGAGACCAGGATTGAGGAGCCAGGGCCAGGACATACCTGAGGTTGCACTGGATTTTCAGAACCTCTTCAAAGAGATTCAAGAAGCTCCAGAGGACAACAATGGAGGAGGTATTGGGAAGCAGTGGTACCAGGTATGTGGCATTTTGACTGCTAGTTGTACTGTGGAGGGGCTAGACTAGGAGGTTCCTGTGCTAAGGGAAGTTGTTTTGATAGCAGTATTGAACTGAAGCAAGCAGAAACTTGCTTCAGGATGGCAAGTCTTCAACATCATCCCCTGCTTTGCAAATGCAACTTTGTCTGCCTTGTGGTGTCAGCAGTATGTTTCTGCTCCCTCCCTTCCTGCACTGCTAGATGGCTTCCAGGGTTCTGCCTTCACTTGCCCGTGGTGGGTTGCTTGGCCTTCTGTGATGGGGACCAGGGCTCCAACCTGGTCAGACCAATGGGGAACAAACATCTAGTGGAGAGAGGCCCAGATTCACAAATTATAGTAGAGGCCCCATGGGCAACTGGTGCCGCTTAAGTCAGCGACTGAGGAGGGGGGTCCCCCCGGCGGCCAATCATGCTGACGGGGGGAGGGGGCCCCCCTGCGGCCAATTTCTCTCAACAAAAAGTGGCCGCACTACTTCTGGAAGTCCTGTGGCCACTTCCGGAAGCAGCACGGCCATTTTTGCTGGCGGCCCTGCTCCCTGACCAGTGCTCCTGCCTGTTCCACTGCCCATTGCCTAAATGGAGCGCGGGCTGCCAGGGGGTGCACCAGCGCTCTCAGGGGGTGCATATGCACCCTCTACATGTTGCCACTGAGGCCCCATTACTGTTGATTTTGAAGGAAGTGAGGCACCCTCGTACCTGTGGATGTGCAGAGCACTGCAGGCATTAATGCTGTTTTCAAACATCCCCCTCAATTTGCCAGTGAGATGTAAATGCAATACTAGATGCCCTTTCAGCACCTTCCAACCATCCTGTGTTGTCAGATCCATGTGCCTTGTGCACGGGTGACACTTCTGCCCAGGTTGTCCCAGAGCTCTTCCTTCACTGCAGACAAATGTGTGTTGTTTTGTGGCTGCTTCTAGCCCTGGGTGGAAGAGAGATTTCCCTGTGTTCCCACACCTTGTGTGTACTAGAGGTGTCTTGCCCCAAGTTAACTGACTGGTCTCTGGAATAGCATACACATATTTCTTCCAGACTACAACCAGCTGGGGGGAATCCAGACCAGCCTAGCAAGGATCTTTGCTAGCTTGCTCCTGCAGCCTTATGGCTGAGGACAAGCAAAACTTGGGGGCACCCAAACCCTAAGCCTCTGGACTTGGGTGTGCGCATAGGATGCCTGCCAAATGATTTGGAAACATCTGAAGCCCCAGGTGGAGGTGGAGGATATTAGTTGGTAGTAAGGCCACTTACGGTTCTTGACTGACTCCTGGATTTGGAATTGATTTGGTTGATTTGGCTTGGAACATGAAAAATTTGCATTAAAAAAAAAACCAACTTTGCTTCTTGGAGTCAGCTGGCAAGCAATTAACCTTGATGCAAAGCTTTAATATAGAAGTGCCCCTTGGGATGGCATCTGACCCAGGCCTTGAGTAGAGACAGACCCAGCAATGCTTGAGGCACTGTGTGATTAAGAAAGGTTAAGTAAACAGCCTGTAATAGCTGTTCATCATTGTTGAGGCTTGTACCTTCCTCTAGCTGCAAGGTAATACTAATATGTTGCTTGGTGTTAAATGACTTAAGGCCTGTTCCTTTCTTGTTTTTGGCAACCACCTGATCTGCTTCAGGAGGCAGAAGCTGTTCATCCAACATTATTTGCCAGTGGCAACAAATGCTTTGTCCCCACGGAGTCACAGCAGCTATAAACCATGGCTTTTTTCTCAGCCCAAACTGAGAGTTTGTTTACCTGCTGAGTATAAAGGGCAGCAGGGGCAGGCTGGTCCCTTCATTAGATGATGTTTTCAGATATAACCTTGCATCATATTATGCTGTGCTGCATAGGAATCAGGCAATATCCTTTTAAAGAGTTTGGCACTCTTCTGTTGGAGGACACCCTGCTATCCTAGCAAAGCAGTAGCTGTGTTCTCAGGGTGCTCATTCATATTTAGTGCATGTGATAAACGTGGTAA